TTTAGAAGTGCTTGTATGAGTGGGTGTGAATGGGTCAATGAGGCATGTTGTATATAGTGTTTTGAGTATTGCGGGAGTGTAGAAAAGCGCTATATAAGAATCAGCCCATTATTTTATTGTGTTAGCCTTTTTGACAATGTGCACTGTGTTAAGTTCTACTTCCTGTTTCATTAGTCAGACTTAGTTCAGTTATATTCTTCCCTGTTTCTAGTCATCTTTATCCAGTGTGTTTAAGCTCTCAGTTTCTTTCCCATGTCTCTGCCAAAAGGAGGCAGGGCCAGTGGTGAATGAGTTTGACTTTTTCCCTCCAAATCACCACAAGCCGAAAACTGCTGTTCAGCAAACCACAAGCCCAGCAAAATCTAAGACTGTTTATTATTTGACTGGGCTATCAGAAGACTGGTTATTACTGACTTCCATCCATACGAACTGTTCCAGCATCTGAGACTCTCTCCCCGGAAATTGACTTTGAATTGACTGTGTCTCAGCCTGTTCCTACTTGCAGGACGGCTAGGACCCTGACTTCCACTGCACCCTTCCAGTTTCCCCAGTGGGGGTGGCTAGGGCCCAGCTGGTCCCTGTCCCTGACCTGGTTCCTTGAGCGGCTAGGGCTTTGCCTGCACCCAGGGCGTGGGCAGCTGAGACCCAGTCCACTCCTGCTCCATATCTGTTCTTTGGGTGGGGATGACTGGTATCCAGCTTGCTCCTGCACCTGTCCCTGTGCCTAGCGTGATGGTGGCCAGGACCTAACCCGTCCCTGCACCCATATCTGCTCCTCAGGTGGGGATGGCAGGGGTTTAGCGAGTTTCTTCACCTGTACCAGTTCCTAGGGACAGACGGCCCAGCCATCAACATGAGCTCTAGCTGCACCATTCAGACCTTGCTGCTAGCCCTGCTTTGCCTCAACCAGAGGTTTCCCGCACGGGCTGGCCTTGCTCTATCTGCAAAGCTGCGCCACCGGTGACCTCCCAAGCTGCCATTCGCTGTCGCATCACCTCTGCCGGTCCACAGTGAAGTGCCGCTGGGTTAGCTTGAAACTGCTTCATCCTCAGAGCCTGCAGCTCAGTTTGTGTCAACCAACAGTGACCCACCTCCACAGACATCATCCCTCAAGGGTGAGCGAAAAACATTTTTTCCTCTATACCCACCCCGAGTTTAATTTTTTTAAAGAAAGACAGTTTTCTCCAGCTTTGAGGATCTAAGTGCTGTTCTGAGTACTGCCGAACTGTCTGAAACTAAAACTTTTTTTAAACCTGCATTTGAGTGTTTTGATTCGGAGTGAGGAGGTAAGGAAGTAAAATGAATTTATATGGCACTTTTAAAGACAGGAAAGGAAAGTGCTTTACAGGGAACATAAAAACAAAAGCCAGTTATCCATTCCTGAGGTGGCCCATGGTACAAATGTATCCTTTGCTTCTGAGCCAGTTAATAACAATGACGTATAACACCGACAGTACAATCGCCTCTCTGTGAAAGCTATAGCTTGATTTATGTGAGGTTACTGTTGCAAGATTCCTGCCATCTGTAACTGTAAAAGAACCTAGAAAGAAGTTTTCATCTTACTGTATTTGTAGCAAATTGTGAAAATCTGCTGCTTAATCTAATAAAGTGTTTAACAATACCCTATGTTTTCACCTCTCTATTTGTGTTGCACTGTTCTTCTGCATGCTGAAGATAGCAGGGACAATCCTGGGGCTAAGTATTCCTCCATAAGCATTACCCTCTGGCATGTGTTGCAATGTAAACTGTCGGTAAGTTTGGTTTTAATGTGCAACAACAAAGCAAAGTATACCACACCTCGATATATTCATGATCTTGATTTATGAAACATCAAAGCAGAATCATCTCTTTGATCCTTCCTACTACTACATTACCAGTAGAAGTAGGCTATATTACCAGTAAATCACTAATTATGTGGTAAAGGAATGACATAAAATATGTTTAAAAGCCACCGTGAAGTCAACAAAATAACAAAAAAACAATAATCAGGATTCTGTTCAACATCAAACGATGACACCTATTATGACGTAAACATCAAATCCATCTAATTAAAGGGCTTACAATAATTAGGCTCTGACCTCTATCCTTCAAGTGCAGTGTGAAAGTGGAAAATCTGTATTTGCTTCCATTACAGAGCCATCAATAAAGCTTTCACAATAACTGCTTTTTTAACCTCCATAGTGTACAGCCATTTAATATACTGAGGTTCTGCAACAAAAACATGTTCTTTGCAATTACACTTGAGTCAAGCTCCAAAAGAGATACCTATGTTAAAGGACCTGAC